ACTTCTAGAATTCCTATGTACCATGGAGACGGGGATTCCCCATAGCCTTATCCTTTTCTCACGGTAGCTATGATACTATGTGGTCTGATTCCTATGATATGACTTCGCTTTTTTCATGTCATACAGATATGTCATGGTTTGCAAGTAGTCACATGTCGGTATCTGCTCATGTATATATACTGGGCTGTCTGCCCCTCAGAATGTATTGACTTCTAACGCTCTCTGGTGCGCCTCAGGAGTCTTCCCTCTCCTATCCTTAGAGTATAGTTAGGTCTGTCCCTCTGCTTACTCTCTTGTAGTTGCCTTCTACTACTGAAGCCACTCCTTTCCTACTCCTTGTTTAACAATCGGTGTTGTTCTGTAATACCCGGTATGGCCATATCACACTGCCATTGAGTGCGTCTCTCAAATGAATTACGGCCTTCAATTGAGTTCACAGCTACAACCATAACACACGTACAAGATACATCCGCCATTTGAGTCTGCCACTGGCACACCCTCGAGCTCTGAGTGGCTCTAGAAGACTTCTTCATTTACGGAGTCGACCTGCTGCACGGTCTGTGTGTCGAACACCTGGCCATCAGGCTCAACCTGGTAGTCATTCGTGACCTCCATCTCCTGGGTATCCTGGAATACTTCGTCACCCCCAGCGAAGCTGTCCGTTTGGGTGACTTCTTCATACTCGGTAAGTAGTCAGCTCAGAGTTCTAGGTTAGGACATACCTGAGGTGTACTCCTATTCTGAAGTGTACGTATCAAGGGGCTGTGAGTGAGTACATACCCCCAAGTCATTGCGGCCAGGATCTTTTCACCTTGACCGGTCATTTGCAGAGCCACAGTACTTGTGGAGAACAAATAAGTCCTGTGTGTCAACATTGCAGATAATATGAATTGAGCTAAGTTTCATTATAGCCATTTGCAGGACATTGGGCACTAAGTAGTAGTGTGCAATACATGTGCCACTGACAAAGCATTACTAATACTAAACACCCCAAGTTCTGCAGCACCATCCCACCCCGCTCATTTTGTAACTGTGGCCACATCATGCGAGTGAATGGACTGATGGATGTCCACAAACCAGCATGGCTCTACTGCTCATGCCATTGTTGAACAAGGAGTGGTGTGGCGCAGCTGAAGGCAAAGCTACAAAGGAGCAAACAAATACTCCAATAGAATATGTTGAACTTCGACTATTTTGGGTGTTACACAATGGGACAGGACTTATCCTTACCCATTATGGACTTGTGTTCTATGTTGCTACATATTACATACATTCTTTACAGACTTGATCCAGACCTGTAGCACATGATTAGTTCTAGATCTTTATGGAACATTCCACTGCTTTCCAGTGCTTTCCATGATGTTCCAGCACATTCTTTTTCATGACATCATTATGACATCATGTTCTAGGACTGTCCAGATTCCCTTCCGGTCCTGTCCAGTCCTTTCCAGTATGTTCCATCCATGGTGCAATTATCGCATCATTGCTCATTGCACCATTATGATGTCATGCTGTTATGCTTACTGTACTATCATGTGATGGTTCTCTCGTGTGTATATATACCGGGCTGGATGCCCCTGTAATGGAACGATCTCTCCCCTCGTTCTATGCCTCTCTGAGTCTTCCTGTTATGCGGAGCGTAACACCCTGCGCTAGCGCAAATCCTAACCCAAAGGTATAGGCTATAGGGCAAGGGAATGAGATAGAGTACAAGGATGATCATGGTCGCTTGCCCTCAAGCACGTCTGAGGCAAGGTCGAGTTCATTGAGAGGAGAGGCTTCAAGCACATCTGAAGCATCCTCAAGAGGGGAGTGTCAACGAGTCCTTGCTAGAGCAGGTCAATGCTGTAGATTGAACCAGGTTGAACTGAGGGTTTGACCTTCAGCTACCTGCACTATATATACATGAGGGCTCATGGTCGAGTCAGAGCGAGTCATATCTATCTAGCCAGTCGGAGGTGGGGAAGGATATGACTCGACAGAGCGCCCGAGCATGAGTCAGTCCAAGTCAGGTATGAGTCATAACAAGTCAGGACAGATAAGAGCACATGGTCAGGGTCGAGTGTGAGAAGAAGCGCCGTGGGTTGAGCCACGGGTACGGTAAGGTCACAAGGGGATAAGCCCCGAGTGGTATCATAAGTGCACAGAGGATGAAAATAAAGGGAAAACAAATGCGGCGTACGTAACCTAAGCCCCTTTCTATGGTCAACAACCTCGATGACCTTCTATGATCCTTCAACTCCTCTGAATGTAGTCATCCCGTCGCAATGGTACGTGAGGCGTGCAATGACTTCCTCAGTCCCTGTGGACAGGACGTCGCCAGTTTCTGATCCTCCAGACGACGGGCTGGGCTCTGAGGCGATCAGCTTGTTAAACAAGGAGTAGAAAAGGAGTGGCTTCAGTAGTAGAAGGCAACTACAAGAGAGTAAGCAGAGGGACAGACCTAACTATACTCTAAGGATAGGAGAGGGAAGACTCCTGAGGCGCACCAGAGAGCGTTAGAAGTC